TTTTTTTTTTTTTTTTGAGAGAGGGTCTTGCTAAGTTGTTAAACTGCACAGGCTGGGTTTGAACTTGTGCTGTTCTTGCTTCAGCCACCCAGAGTGGTAGGACTTCAAGTGTGTGCCACCAAATCCATGGTATAACTTCATTACATGATTAGAGGGAAAGCCAGCTTTGACTGGATAAACTAGGTTTTGGGATAGTCTAAGTGTTTTTTAATGTTAGACTTTTTTTAGTAATATGATGTATTACATATATATATTACATATACCATGTATACATGTACATAATTATTATTTTATCATAATAAATATCACTGTAAAAAAGAATTATGCATAACAAAATATTTTCAAGTTCCCAGTAAATGACACTAAGATTACTCACATTTTGTTATAAAGATAAAAACCAATGCAGATATAGCTCTGCATCCTATAATGTCACAAAAAGGAATCTTTAAAGCCAGAAAATGAGGCTATGAACCACCAATGGCATTTCCACAATTTCATTTTCAAAAAAATAAAGCTTTGTTGATTTGGGGGGGAAGGGGACTGGGGACTGAACTCAGTACCTTGTGCTTCTGAGGCAGGTGGCAGCACCACTGAGCTAAACCTCCAGCCCAAACCTTTGTTCATTTTAATTCAACAACTCTTACAAAACAGCTATATACTACAGGAGGTTTCTCTCACTTTTGAAAAGTTAATCCAATACAATAAAGACAGCTGAATTCTGACATGCAGGATATGTTAAAATGAATTAAAATACTAACAACTCTTCCTCCCTTTACTTGTAATATCCCTTCTGGAGGGAAATTAATGGATCTACTTGTCTGGTCCTTTTAGAGTGCAGCCTTTACTATTCCAATGTGTTAGCATTTCAGGACAGTGACAAAATGCCTGGGAAAAACAATTTAAAGGGAAGGTTTATTTTGGGGCAGATTCAGAAGGGTCAGTTCATGGATGGTTGTCTCCATTGTTTTAGACCTGTGAGGAGGCAAAAAACACCTTGGTGAAAGGGCAAGGCAGAGGAGAACTGCTGACTGCTCTGAGCTGTGAACTCATGAATAGACTGATAACCTTGAATGAATTATCAGGAGTTGGGCTCCGGTGCAGCACACAGGTTGCTGCAGCAATGCCTTTGAAGGGCCCATCTTTTTTGTTGTTTTGCTTTAAATATGTTTTATTTGATTTTACCCTCCCCTTCTACACCCCTCCCCTCCCTATGTACAAAACTTTGTTTCCATCTTTTCCTTCTATTTTCACTTTTTGAACAGTCTATCTTGCCCCTTCGTTTCTCTGGCTTTTTCTCCTTTTTGGATTCTGAGATCCCATGCTTTGCCCTAAACAGCTTTGCCCTACCACACCCTTCCACCATAATGTGTAGCCTTACCTCAGGCCCAAAGCAACAGAACCAATGGACTATGGACTGCAATCTCTGAAATCTGAATAACACACCTATAAATCCTTGACTTTTTTTTTTTTTTTTTTTATTTTTTTTTTTTTTTGTGGTACCGGGGATACAACACAGCCCCTTGTGCTTGCAAGGTAGGCAGTGGAACTACCGAACCAAATCCCCAGCCCAATCCTTGACATATTAGTGAAAATCCTACAGGATTATAAAACTATGAAATAAAAACTGTCATATATGAAAATGATAAATTAATTTTAATAAAAACCAAATGAAAGGTAAGAAAACTGCTACTTGAAAGAACTAGTCCAAGGAAGACTTCACATCTTGAACTAGCATCTCTCTTTCTCTCTTTTTTCTTGGTACCAGAGATCAAACTCAGGACCTTGCACTTGTGAGACAGGTGTAGCAACACTGAGCTAAATGCCCGGCGCTTGAACTCTTATTAAATATGTGACATATAGTTAAAAATGCAATTGAAAAATATGGTGAATATTTAAAACACACACACACTACCATAAATCCCCCTCAAAATACTCCCTGTCCCTATGAACATATATATCCTATCATTCTCGCTTCTTTCTCAAAGTCTTCTTTTGTGACTGTCTTTAATTGTGCTGTCGTGGCTGATTGGATGTCCTAAATGGACTCAAAATATTTACCTTTCATAGTCATTTTGATTTTGAGAAATAGCCAGAAGTCTCATGGTATCAGATCTAGCAAATAAGGTGTATAAGGAAACACAATAATGTTTTTACAAGCCTGCCTTCTCCACTAGATAGCACAAGGCAGCAGCATTCACTATTACACTTCTTAAAGACACTTAGAAAAGAGAACTTTCAGAACTGCTTCAGAAAGTCCAGGAACAGGGGTAAGTGCTCAAAATGAGTAGAACATTTTTAAAGAGTGTGTTTTTTACTGTAATACTTCTTAAAAGATTTAAACAATCACTATATGCTTATTGAGATAATTTTTTTCTGTCTTTAAATCTCTATTTTCACTTGGCCACTATTTCTTTCCTCAACTCAACTAAAAAACACTTTTCACATTCACCATATTAGGCCAGGTATCAAAATTAGGACCGCGTGCTTGCAAGGCAGGTACAGTGCCACTCAGCTAAATCCACGGCCCCCGGATGAGAAATTTACAGTTAAATATGATACAGCTGCTTCCTTCACAGTTATTTAACAAGTGACTATACACCACTATGAACAAGTACAAAGGAAACATGGAGAAGCCAGATTAGTCTGAAGAACTGAGAAAGCGGAGAAAGCTTTAAACAGGTGGTAACATTTCGGCAGGATCTTGAAGGTAAGTACTTTGCTTCACATCATTTCCTTATTCAGTAATGTTTTATGGAAAGGTACACCTTCTGCTCCATCTTGCTACCTAACTCAATTATCATATTTAAGCCAGACCTTATCATTACCAATAACCACACTCTTTCCAAAATTCAAAGTTCAGGTATCATCCTATTCACTGATTCCTACTAGCTCAATTTCCAGCTTATTCATTCCACTCTGTTACTGATTTCAACAATTCTTTTGACTCCAGCAGGACTTCTATCCATTGGCCCTACCTTCTTTTAAGCACTATCCATCACCCTCTTAACATACTTCTTCCCCCTTACCTGGCTTACACTTCATGGTCCATTATTATAAATACTCTTTTGCATACACATTCAAATTCTTTGTCCCTCTCTTTTCCTCTGTTATATTATCTGGAAAACTTCAACTCTGACTAAATCCAACTGTCTACTGATGGAAGTATTGGTCACAGCACTGTGCAAGTATTGGACCTATCTGAATTCCCAAACAATCTCTGGTACCAAGCTCGGAAGAAGATGTTTATAAATTCAGTAGAGTTCTAAAACAGATTTGATAGAGCACTGCAACTCCAGATCTATATATGGTTGCTGCCTAGTCACAAAACACTCACTTTTCCATAGACTCTGGAGCTCTTTAAGATAGAGATCACATTATATACTTGCTCTGTTGAATACACTACCTTAAAGAGCTCTATAGTCTAGTGCAGTGATGGCCAACTCGTCAGAGCTTTCAATGATAACAAATAGCCAGCTGCAGCCAGTGTACCTTATTTTTACCACTACTGATCTAGGGGAAAGATATCCAATAAGACTTGACTAAATGCAAAAAAGGACCAAACTGGAAACAAGGTAAAAGATGCTCTTGTCCTACAAACACATGAAGTAAGGTGCTAAACTGTTAGGATGAGCACTAGGGAAGTTTCTTCACAATTTTTAGAAATAATGAATGACAATGCACATGTAAAAAATGGATGAAACTACTTAGGTTTACAGGTATATTTATTTTAGGTATACTTATTATAGAAACAGCTGTTTTACTATTGGAACGCCCCAAAATTCGTATCTATATCTATCTCCTAGGAGCTATAGTAACAAAAGTTTTGTTAACCAGATTGAAAACTGGCAAACAGCAAAAATTCAGTTAACGAGTTCAATGGGTCTTCAATGAAACAGTGACTTTTTTCTTCTTTCTATGACTCAATTTCAACTAGGACTCAGTGTGTGATGTAAAACCATGATTAGAGATCTCTTTTTAGAAAATATGACATTTAAATAAAAAGGATTACCAACACTACTGCAACATCCTAGCTCTAATTCTGTCTCTCCTAATAAAGAAAGCAAAGGAATTTCTAAGGACAGGCAGATTTGAGAAAGACTGAGGCAAAGGAAAAATCAAATGATTATTCAGATTTACTCTGAAGCATCTTCATTACATATTTTCCAATATCAAAAATAACAATGGGAGAAACCTGGCATATCAAAATAGTTCTAATAATTTTATGTAGAATTACTGTCCTTCTGAAAACATTCTGTTTTCTTCAGTTTTTTTTTGGGGGGGTCCCAGGGATTGAACTCTAGTCCTTGCGCTTGTGAGAAAGGCAATGGAACCACAGAGCTAAATCCCCAGTCCTCTGTTTTCTTTTTAAAATTTTTATTTATTTTTACACAAAATGATTTTTGGGGGGTACCGGGGATCAAATGCAGGACCTTGAACTTATGAAGCAGGCAGCAGCACCACTAAGCTAAATCCCCGGCCCTACACAAAATGATTTTTTAAAGCCTACTCAACTTTAAACACTGTAAAATAAGTAGCACAGAACATCCGTTACCACCAGATAACTCAAATTGAACAGTTAAGGGGGAAAAAAAGCTGGGCATAGTGTTGGACATCTGTAATCCCAGCACTCAGGAGGCTGTGGCAGGAGATCAGTACAAGTTTAAGACCAGCCTGGGCTACAGTGAATTCAAGTCCCTGCTTGAACTACCCTGCCTCAAAAAACAAAACAAAACAAACAAGTTCTGCAGGTGGCATTTACTAAGGTTTATATTTGCATGGAGCAAAATGAAAAGATTATAGAATTAGCTAAATGCCTAAAGGGAAACTAAATTTTGGGAGGCACACCAGAAGTCAAACGATGCAAGTTAAAAGAGTAGCAAATGAAGATAATAAAACCAATCAGGAGGCATGGCTTAGATTTTCTCATACTATACTAGAGTACAAATGGATCATAAGGAATAATTATAATCCCAGTACTTTGGGATGCTGAGGCAGAAGGAGCCTAGTTAAAACCCAGTTTGGGTAACTGAACAAGACTGTTTCAAAATTAAAAATGGCTGGAAATGTAGCTCAGTATGAAGGTCCTAGGTTCAGTTCACAGTACTAAAAATAAGAAACTCAATGTTAAGTCCTATAGATTAATCCTCTGAAAATCATCTCCAACTTATCTAGTTTCCTATAATAAAAATTGCCCTAGTGCAGGTCTCAGAGGCTATTACACTATATACTGCCAACACCCCAACTCTCTCTAATTCCTTTCTCTATTACTAAAGCATGTTTTAATGAAATGAATATTATATCCCTCTTTTGATGGTTTTCTCAGTGATTACAGAGAATAACTCAAATGTTATGGTCAGGTGTGCAAAGTTGTTAGCAATTTGGACTTGCTCAGCTTTTATAGAGGTATAACCCTATTTTCCTATTCTCACTTTTATACTGTGCCTTTGCTTGTATTTGTGCTCACTGCCTGGAACATCTCTTCTCTACATGTATATCTGCATAACTTTATCTTGTCAAGTATTCCTGAAAACCCCAACTCCTAGAAAAACGAATATGATTCTGTTTGATGTCCTTGTATTGTTTTGAATATAACTGGATCTTTTATTTTATTGTATCATTGGTTCATGCATCTGGATTCTCTCATACAATGAGTTTCATATAAGGAGGAGCTTTGTCTTATTCATCTTTTCAGTTTGGTACATTTAAGTGTGAATAATGTGTAGAAACAGAATAAAGAAAGTATAAATATTAGTCTTTGTGGTGGCGCACGCCTGTAATCCCAGCACTTGGAAGGCTGAGGCAGGAGGATCACTGTGAGTTCAAGGCCAGCCTGGGCTACATGGTGAGTTCATGGCCAGCCTGAACAATATAGCAAAACTTATCGGGCGCGGGGGTATAAATTTACCATCTTGATTCTGAACTTTTTAAGTATTAAAGTTTAGTCAGGCTTCCTCTAAGAAACTTTCTTCAACTGCTGTAGATGACACTACAGCATAATGAAATGGAGACATCTCATACATACAGTCATCATATGACACAGTGCAGCAATTAAATGGTCTTTATTCACCAGTGTTAACACTGCCCATGTGAAGAGATGACCTGAGTAGGTTTTAGGCTGGTTCTTTTTTTTGTTTTGTTTTTTTGGCACCAGGGATCGAACTCGGGTCCTTGCGCTCGCAAGGCAGGTGACAGAACCACTGAGCTAAATCCCCGGCCCTAGGCTGGTTTTAAAGTTTTCTTATGTTCATTATGGTAGTTAAGTACAAAATCTCTACTTGGGCTAACATTTATTCACAGTAGGTCCTGAAAAATACTCAAAGATTGACAAACTTTTCTGTGAAAGGGAATGATAAATTTTTCAAGTATAGTGGGTCATTAAATGTCTATTCCAATTCTTCAACTCTACTACTGTAAGGCAAAAGCAACTACTGACAATATATAAACAAATGAGCAAAGCTGTGTTCCAATAAAATTCTAGTTATGGGCAATGAAATTTGAATGTCAATTCTCATGTGTCATGAAATAGGATTATAATACTTTTGTTCTTTCCAGCCACTTAAAAACACAAAACCATTCTTAGCAGGCAGTATAAACATAAGCAGGAGGCCAGATCTGATCCTCACTGCATTTTGCCAATTCCCGCTTCAGATAGATCCATTCATTTATACTGCAAGATAACTGTCAAATTCCTAAATAAAACATCAGCACACACACAAATACCTTCTTTCAGCACGCTCCTTCTTCTTTAAGGCAACATCCAAATCTTGCAACTGTTCCTCTAATTTTTCACACAGCAGCTTCTGAAGGAGTAAAATGTATGTCATTTTAAACACCTTTCCACAATAATTTATCACATACATATTAAGCTCATGGGTATTGTGCTGTAAGAGCTGACAAGGGGCCATATAATGAATGAATATTTAAGCTTGTGTTTAATTTAAAGAGGTACTTCAGCTTTGGCATCACTCAAGAGAAAATGAGCCCAGAGAAACACACATTACAGAAACTTAATAGTTTTGCCAGGAGGAAAAAAACCTACCACATTCTGTGCCTATCTCACTAGCAGTAGTCCATAATTAAAACAGCATTCAGGTTGTAAATAGGGAAGGGTGAAGGGGTGAAGAGAGGGCAGATGTATGGGGGAAAAATAAGAACCAAGACCTATCATGTAAAGGTACAAAATCCCAATTATAAATGTAACTGTATTGTTTGCTTTAAATGTCCCAATAAACTTAATGGGGTAAAAAATAGCATTCGGAACCAGGCATGGTGGTATACACCCGTAATCTCAGCACTCTAGGAGGCTGAGGCAGAAGGATCACAGGTGCAAGCCCGTTCTGTGCAACTAAGGAAGACCCTGTCTCAAAATAATTTTTTAAAAAGCAGCTGGGGATATAGCTTACTTTGATCCCTAGTCTCACAATAAACTTGTAAAAATAAAATTTGGTGCAACCATATAAAAAACAATGTTTACAATTTTAAAAAAGATTCAAGACATTTTAAGGGAGAGTATTATATAGAAGTGCCAATATCTACATTTAAAAAAATAGATTGAAAAAAATGTACAAAACAATGCCATGATTACTGACCTTGAAAAGTATTATTTGGCCAAGCTATGCTAAACCACAGAACTACACTTCACTAAGAAATATAACATGCAGCACGTTAAAAACAATGAGTGTGGGCTGGTAATACAAGTACCTAAATGGCTAGTTCTTACAGTGGGACAGAGATATCCTATTGTTCACTCTCAAAAGAAATGCATCTGAATCATACAGAAGAAAACCACGTTTCTTCTAATCCTGATATTAGCAGTAAAACTACCAACAAAACAGTAGACAGAAATGAAATATAAGAGAACAGGATAAACTACAGACACTTACTTCTTTCCCTGTTATTTATCTGAATCTAGTGCTCTGCGTGCATATAACAAATGTGATAAATACATGTGTGAAATACATGACGATGGGCCGGGAATTTAGCTCAGTGATGCTGCCGCCTATCGCACAAGTGCAAGGTCCCAAGTTCAATCCCCCATACCAAAAAAAATTTTTTATTTCACATGCCAAAATACATGATTTTACAAAAATTGGAGGACTTCTGAAAATTGCTTTGGAAAAAGCAAAAAGAAGACCTAAAAGATATTAAAAGGTAGACATCTAAACAAGAGGCAACAGTATTTACAAATTGCTTTGAAATTGGAAGACATCAAGTGACTGTTAAAAAGTATTATTAATTCGGATATAAAACCAAGGGCTGGGCTGGGTCATACATGTTGACATGGGGGGCAAAACCATTCTCCATCAGGGATGATCATCAGAGGAGGGCGGAGGCAGGCGGTGTGGTATCCACTGTCACAAGAATCACACAGAAGAATCTGAAATAAACCACAATGAGGTCAACCTAACTATGACTAAACTACATGACTCTTACACTAAAATAATGACATTTCAATATTTCTTAGTACTCTACTGCAAATTATTCTTTATGTGCATAAAGGTAATGAATAAAACTGCTCTGATAATTAGAGGTCTGACATGGCAGTTTTTAAAAAACTTTAACCCCTGTCCCCCACCCCCCAAAAAACCCCAAGAAAATGTAGAGGTATAAAATTAAGTGAAAAATAGCAACTCCTTTCTAAACAAGAGTTAGAATTACTTTATAGTCTGTCATAAAGATGGTAACAGCATGATTTATAACAAAGTTTTAAATGCAAGTATCAAAAACTAATCTACCACATATAGAATTTTAAAATATGAAAAAATTCAATTTTAATAGCATTTCAAACACCTGTATATAAGAAACCCATATAGTTCCGTTTAGCACGTAAATTCAAATGAAGGGCTAAGATATAGAAAAGAATGGAACTATATTCAGAACCGTATGTTCAATATAAAGGCTACTATTAATAACAACTAGTCTTACAGTTGTTCTTTTATTGCTCCTTGAGATTAAGATGACCAACTCTCTAAAATGTTACATGGTACATTCATGAATGTTGAACTCAAAAAACATTTAATTTTTAAACAATTTTAGATTTAAAGAAGAGTTGCAGAAATATTACCTCCCATTTACCCTTCCCTCTTCTTTCACAAGGTTAAAATTTTATATAGCCACAAGGCCGCTAACAACAACAACAAAAAACTTTAAATGAATACAATATCAGATTTTACAAGTTCTTCCATTAATTGTACTTTTTCTGATTCTAAATCCAGGATTACTACATTGCACTTAGTCCGATCTTCTTCCTCTCCAATCTGTAAGTCCTTCTATCTGTTTTCCATGTTTTGACGGCCTGAAGAATTCTAGTCCATTATCTTATAGACTGTCCCTGAATTTGGGTTTGGGCAATGTTTTCTCATGATTAGACTGGTGTTGTGGACTTTGGACCTAATTAAATCACTACAGTAATTAATAAATTATTATACAAATATTTTGGAGGGGGATGGGGATGTAGCTCAGTGGCACCATAACTGCCTGGCAAGTGCAAGGTCCCAAATTTGGTCCTGAGGAAGGTATGATAAGCTATGCAAATATCCTGTGTCTATTTATTTTGTTCTTGGAATTGTTCAAACCATGGGCACAACGGATGCTCCTCCACACTGGTTTCTGTGTCTTTAGGATTTATCTCTTTGCTTGTTTATATGTTTCTGTTTATTATTTTAAAGTACTTCCTCACTTTCTGGCACTACAGAATGCTCCAGGACCATCTTATGTTTTCCCTGCCCAAGCCTTAGAATCAATCATTTCTCCAAGAAGCTCTGGTTCTTTCAATGGAAAAATACCACTTAGAAACCAAAATCTGGGTGGTCTGAATGTTCACCACTATTATATATAACTAATGTTAAGCTCTTTTCAGAGGACAGGTTCACAAATGTTTCTGTTTTGCAAACAATTCAGTTAGCACACAAAGGGGTTCAGCAAAATCTTGCTTCCCTTTGCAAACTCCACAGCGAGTAACGAACATGACCATGGCCATCTTCCCCAAATCACAAAGTTTGTAAACCAAGGTACCACTGTGTGTATTTATATTGATATACACACACAAACACAACCTATATTTCTGTATACATATTAAAATATGCATGAGTTCATCCTAATATTTACAGCTCTAATACACCATGATAAGGTTCATTCTACTATTGCTTTTGCTAAAAGTGAGGACCCTGTCTATTAGGTACACTTTATTTGCTCAACCCTAGTATACATGTAGTTTCTAACTGAGCCATGGGGGAGAAAAGATTAAAAGTGGAGCACCAGGGATTTATCTCAGTGGTGCTGCTGAATGCCTCACAAGCACAAGGTCCTGAGTTCGATTCCCAGTACCAAAAAGAAAGAAGATTACAACTGGAAAACTACTTTCTTCCCTCTCCATATAATGTATTATCACTTGATCACAATGACCAAAATTTAGTAGTAAGTTCTACTATGTTGTACACCAAGTGCATGACTGGTTATATAGGAACATGTTACACAGGCACCCAATTCTATTTATCACACTGTTTCTATGGTAAAACACTTTAAATTTTGAATAATAAAAATTACAACTAAACATTCCTAATTTTAGCTTATTCCTAAAATGAAGACTATCTCTATTCCACGATAAAGACAAATTGTCACTGAATAACTACCACGTAAGGTAGCTAAGCCTCAGACATAGATCTACTTATTCTGACTAAAGCATCTGACAGATGATGCAGAGTTTTACACTTATTTATGTTTTGTTCTGTTTTTTTTTTTTTTCCTGGTACCGGAGATCAAACTTGGGACCTTGTGCTTGCAAGGCAGGCGAGTGCCACTGAGCTAAATCCCCGGCCCTTTACACTTATTTATGAATTTATTGCTTTTTGGCTATAAGCTCAATGAGGACAAGGGAGCATTTATTTCTAGCTCAGCAACCTATCCCTACCACTTAACATATAATAGCTGTTTATTTTTTTTTGAAGCTTACTCTTAAACACTTGACATGAGAAATCTATTCTATTTTGACATCTTCAGCTTCTTTTTCCAAATTTTTATTTTGATTAGTACACGTATGCAGTAAAGAGATCTTCAGTATCTAATGTCATACTCCTTTACAAAGTAAGCAACAGTGGGATTTTTTACATGGTCATTAAAATAAATACAAATTCTGTGTGTGCTCCCAGAACTGGACAACTCTTTCCTTCGTATTTCTGCTCACTCCATTTTACTTCTTCCCTCTCACCCACTTCGTCATGGACAGCTACTGCTATCTTAAGTAATAATGTACTCTTTCTGCTTAAAAGAACATTAGAAAATGTAAGTAAATAACACAAAAGCACCGCTTATTCCTTGATTTAAAAGGCAGAAAAGGCCATCTCAAACCTTCTCTTGACCTTACTGCATAAAAATTAGAACTTTCAGGAACTGCAGATTTATCTCAGTGGCACCACACCTGCCTTGCAAGCACAAGGTCCTGCATTTGATTCCTGGTACCAAAAAAAAAAAAAAAAAAAAAAAAAAAAAACTTTGAACTTTCATAGACTTGATGATCAAAAAATGCTCAGAACAGACTTCTGAGATTAATTTCAGCGTCTACTCTTAACAGAGTTAAAATCATTTCCAACCTACATCTTTTACTTGAAATTTCAGAAACTACAGGGATATGATAAAATTCACTGATTTTATTTTTAGAAACGATAGTAAACCAGAATTTACTTTTAACCCAGCATATAATAGGTATCAGAAACTTTGCTAGGCAACTTTACGTAAGTTTTTAAAATATCACTCTGAAACATGTGGTGCCAGTCTACTTTTACAATGAAAACATCAAAATACAGAAAGGATAGTACCTGTTAAGTGGTAGAAGGGAGATCTGAACCATGTCTGTCTGGCACCATGGTTTTCCCATCGTAACATACTGCAGAGCCTAAAGGACTAGCGCTTAGTTAGGTTTAAAACTTTAGAGCAGAGCCGGGTGTGGTCACACATGCCTGTAATCCCAGCACTTGGGAGGCTGAGGCAGGAGGATCGCTGTGAGTTCAAGACCAGCCTGGGCTACATAGTGAGTTCCAGGTCAGTCTCAACTACATAGTGAGACCCTGTCTCAAAAAACAAACAACAACAACAACAACAACAACAAAACTTTAGAGCAGTGTGATGAACTTTCTAGAGGTTTCAGAGATAACAAACAGCCTGCTGTAGTATGTGTGCTATAGTTGTGCTACTGCTACTATGGAAGATCCTAAAACATTTCTGCTCCACACATCTCATGTAGAAGGATCACTCTTTATACTTCTTTCTACTTAATAGTTGCAACTTGTCTTTAAAAATAGTAGAATTGCACAGCATATAGAGGGAATAAACTCTCTAATGAACTGCACATAATATATTCAGATTAGGAACTGGTTATCCTAATGTAGGCCACCTTGGAAGAGCTTACTCCTTGGATAAGAAAATGCCATATAAATATGTTACTATTCTGAATATATCTGGTTTATAATTTATTCCCCCTATATATTTTATAACCACCCATTTTTAAAAATTTAAAGTCCTACTAAGTTACTACTTGATTTATGTATTATTAGTGGAAAGCAATGAGGCTTTCAGATCTAACTTAAAGCTGGTAGTTCAAAATTATAACTTAAAAGGGAAAGAAAAAAAATGTAAAGAACAAGTTTCTGGGTTTTGCTATTTTTTCCTTAACAGTACTGCATATTGGATCCAGGGCATTACACCAGTGAGCTACATCTCCAACCCTTATTTTTCACTTTGAGACAGGTTGCTAAGTTGCCCAGGCTGGCCTCAAACTTGTGATTCTCTTGCATCAGCTTCCACAGTAGCTAGGATTATAGGCATGTGCCATTTTGACCAACCAGGATAGAAATATTTGAATAAACTCACTGAAATGTGAGAGATCAGGGGTGCACTGCTGTTAAGTAGAGAAAATATCAATATATATGCCACATAGAATGAAAGAAAGATACTGATCCTTGTACTTATTCAAAAGGGGTTGTCATTTGAGAAAAAGAAATAAAAACCACTTTGTAGAATACAAGCTCGATAACATTAAAAAAAAAATCAAATCATGATAAAACACAGAAGAATTAGGCTGCTCCAGTCAACTATAACATACTCGCAATACAAATGTTGCTCTTTCAGTGTATGTGCTGACAAACCAAGCACTAAATATTGTTCATTTAGATCAGGTACATACTAGTTCAGGATGGTTTGGAAGGCCACATTTTTTGCATGGTTCATCATCATCTGCTAAGATGGCTTCTTCACTTTCCTTTTCTTCTTCCTCTTCTGAAGCTGCAGATGACTTTTCACTGTCAGAGCCTTCACTTTCATCATTGCTGGAATATTTCCATTTACCACGTGTTCGAGAACCACTCCATCGAACTTTGCCTTTGGGTTTTACCTTATATAAAATAAAATTAAGAAAATCTGATATGATAAGAAAAAACATTTTAAAAACCACTGTTTATCTCTCTTGTGGGCTATTTAGTTAATATATAAAGAAAATATTATAATTGTCTCATTGCCAGATATACCTACTATTAAATTCTGGTATACATTTCCTTTTTTGGGGGGGGGCTTCAAAAATGGAATTTAAATGATTATTGTCTTATAAATAAATGTTTTTCTTCTACATTAAATATTTTCGTAACATCAATACAAATTACTGAATAATATGCCATCACATGAATGTATTAATCTAATCCCCTCTTAGACATTTAGGTAGTTGTTTCCCATTTTTCACTTTATAAACAATGTTTACTTGCAAATATAAATTTTTATAAAAACTTGTGGTTAGGATAAATTCCTCGAAGAGAATTCTGGGTCAAAGGCCATGCACATCTTAAAGACCGTATCAATAACAAAAAGATGACTACATATTCACTGTTTTACTTTAGAGCCTATATTAGAAATGATCTTAAAATTTTTAACTGGGTCAGAGCTGGATATAAAAATCTTGACAAACTTGAGTAAGTCTGCAATGCTGTGAACAGCATTTTATTGTCTAGTTTTGCAATCTTTTAACTTGCATTTCATACCATTCTCTCATTTTAGGCCTCCAGCTAAAAACAAAATAATTCTAAGAAAAACAAAATGTTTTAAGTAAATAATTAAAAATTCAGTATTTCGGGGAACAAAGGATCACTTACAATGAAGAAAAATCTGGTCATGTAAATAAATTAAAAGCAAAAGTAGCATTTTTAATTATAATAAACTCCAACAGATAGTCAATGACTTTTTCTTTGTTTTTCTTGGGACAAGGTCTCATGTGGTAAGTGTAAGTTGGCTTTGAACTATGTAGACTAAAGCCAACAATTTTTACAAGATTTTCTAATATAAAAGTATCACATAAAAAGAGGATACTGGCTTCTAAGACTAACGATTAAAACAGGGAAAAACAGGCATCCTCATACACTGGGATGAGATGGTACATTTATAGGGCCTTTTTGCAGGGCAATGTGGCGACTGTTATTAGAAATTATCCTACACATGCCCCTTGACCCAGCAATTCCAATTCTAGGAGTCTATTCTAAAGAAATACTCACTCATGTCCAAAAGGATCTTCAATGCAGCATTGCCTGTAATAGTGAAAAATTGGAAACAACCTAAATGTCAATTAACAAGGGAGTGGTTAAATAAACTGAGGTATAGCCACACTATGAAATACTATGTGTTCATTAATAAATGAAAGGTGGACTATATATTAAATGAGCGCACAGAAAAATTAACTAATTGGATCAAATTTATTTTTCATATAGTGAAAATGTTGGTAAGAACATACATAAATACATGGAAAAGGGACTGAAACAATATGTACCCCAAACTACAAATGATGGTTGCAAAGAATTTTCATTTTATAATCTTACAGGGTAGGTATTACTTAACAGTTTACAAAAGGATATATTCTGCCTACAGTAGAAAAACGTTTAAAAGGAAATAAGAGTAAACAGAGACAGTCTTGAAATGTATTATCTGGGGATAACTACTAAGAGCAATAAAGTACCCCCCAGTTACCTTGGAATGACTGTTTTGGTCAAAAGCAAAAAGCTACAAATACATATACACAACAACTATTTCTAACTAATATTTAACACTCAGAGTAGAACTTTTACCTTGCTTACTTTAGAGTTTGTATCCTTCTCTGTTTTTTTCAAATTTTCTTTTTTGTCTGTTTTTTGCAAAGCTGCTGACTCTTCCTCTACTTCATCTTCTCCCTCGCCTCTTTTTTTATCAGCTTTCTGATCCCTGATCTCAGCTGCTTTTGCTGTAGGTCTGGATATTCTCGGAGACCTCCTTAAAGTACGACCCATGTTTGTTTTCTCCTCTTCTTTTTCTGTCTTCTCTTGCTTGTTTTCTGCTTCTAGAATTTGAGGGGGACAATCTGGTTTCTTCTTCCGACTAGATATCCTAATTGTTAATTTGATACCTTCTTTCTGCCTTTCTGAAGTTATCTCTGTATTTTCTGAGGCAGTGGTTTCTTCTTCAGGAACCAACTTATATTTAAATTTGCTTTTTTGTACAGAATCCTTTGTCTCAGAAGAATCACCTAAGCCAGAGTTCTGGGTATTGTCCAGATTATCCATTTCCACCTTCATGGAATCAGAATCCTGTGTTAGAATTTCTGGGACTGTTTTTTCCAGACCTACAACAGAATTTATACTCTGACATTCTACTCCTTTTTTTGCTGAGGCTAGTTTCTCACAATGGTCAGACATTTTAGATGGTGGGGAATTTTCAACTGCCCCAGGAGAGCCTGGCTTTTCTGATTCTATTGTACTCTTTGGAACTTCTTCTGGTATTGGACTCAATCTTTGTGTGTCCTTATCAAGAAATGTCTTTTTGGATTTCTCTAATTTTTCAAGACTTTCTAGAATTTGTGGGTGGTTATCTTTCTTACTTTTGGGGGGCTTCTCTTCAATTTTAATTGTACAGGATTCAGTGGCAGATAAAACAGTTTTTAAAGAGAGAGCCTTTGCTATTTCAGAAGACTCAAGAGAAGTTTCCATTTCTGAAAGACCAGGTTCCTCTAACAGCCCTTTCTGACTGTGAGTCTCTAAGACTGATACTGTACCATCTTCAACTTTCCCTAAAGGAACCACTTCCTTCTCGAGATCATGTATTTTAGTACTAGTTATGACAGAATTTAAGCACTCAGTTCCATTTCCTTCCATGATGACACTCCTGTCCTTAGAAAGGTTGCTACAGATGTCTTCCTTTGTATCAGAAAACTTTGTCTCTATTTGTTCTGTTTTAAGATTTGGAGTTACCTTTTCATCACTAACTTCTCCATTTACCAGTTGTTTTCCATCATGACTCAAAGTTGTGATTGTAGAGATCCTTTTACAGGTCTCTTCCTCTTGTTTAATTTCATCTTTCAAAAATTCTTTTGTTGGAGTAACAGATTTACACAAAGGTCCTTTGACTGTACTATCAAAATCATCACTCAGTTTAATTTCTCGCTTTTTAAGTGGTATTTTTGCCTGCTGGTCATTTTTAAGTTTCTCAGTCTCTTCAGTAGATTTTTCTGTAATGTCCTGAGAAGATCTGACATTGCCACCAAATTCTAGCCTCTCAGGTTCTTGTGTTCCCACTTTCTCCATGCTACTTTTGCTATCTCTGGGATCTGTTCTACATTCCCTCACTTCAACTTTAACAGGTTTGATGTTTTCCTTGAAAGAATCACTTTCTTCTTTGATAATCTTTTTTTCCTCACTTTCTGGCAATGATTTTTCTAGCTTTACAATGACTGGAAGTTTTATAAGTTCCTTTTCATCCTCTTTTTCAACTTTAAAAGTAGTGTCTTCTAAAACACTGGCTGTGGAGTGGTTTACGGAATCCACTGGCCTCTCTTCTTTCGCCTTTTCGGTTTCCTTCTGTTCCTCTAAAAATCAGAAAAAGTTTAATTATGTTAATGGAAACATTCAAGATTATAAAATACAAAAGATTTAATATAAGATATACAGTGAACCCTCAAGTTATGATTGACCTGACATATAAACAACTTGGGTTAATTAGGTTAATGGAAAATTCATCTGCCTCTTGTTATCCATAGTGTGTACCCAAGGTAAACATCCACAATTCAGCTGTAATGACTTATACAATCAACTTGACTTACAACTAGCCCTTGGGAACTGATCAAGTTCGTAAGTCAAGGGTCCACTGTGCTTCCATTTGAATTTCTTCTTTCAAACAAGTGGCTTTTATCATTGGATATTTGACAATGAAGAAAATGACAAAATTGTAAAGCACATCTTCTAGATATTAAAAAACCATTATTCAGAAATACTTTTGGATTTATGTTACTTTTAGCTTCAGGGTTCTCAATGGAATGCAAACAATTATATAGCTCAAACAATTTATTCAAGCTAAAGGGATGGCTCAAAAATATGAAATCGAAGGCCAGGGATTTAGCTCAGTGGTTCCGCCACCTGCCTCGCAAACACAAGGTCCTGAGTTTGATCCCAGGTTAAAAAACAAAAAAAAAAATGAAAATATTACAGAAAACATTTCTAACTTTGTTTTATACACTGACAACCATTCTTTGAAAGTCATTGAGCACTTAACTTCATTGCAGTAACATGAATACAATATTGGAAAATTAAAAAAGACAAAAGAAAATGCCCATAACCCTACTACTTAGAGGCAATCACAAGTAATATTTTAGAATTTATTTTAACAATACTTAAAATTTAATATTTTAAAATTTATTCTGATCTTAGATATTTTTCACTTATCTGAATTTGTTTGCCCTGAATTTTTTTTATTAAAACACTAATGCTTTCTTATGTTAAATGCCCTGCTAAAAAATCAGCCAGGTATGGTGTATACATCAGTAATCCCAGCACTTGGGAGGCTGAGGCAGGAGGATTGCTGTGAATTCAGAGTCAACCTGTGCTGACTACTGAGTTGAAAGCCAACCTGAACTACATAGCAAGATCCTGCCTCAAAAAACAAAAAATTAAATCAAGCTTTATGATTATATAAGGGTTCTCAAAGTGGTTGTACAATTTACCTAATCAAATGCCATTATTCACTAGGTAAGAAGTTAATATTTTCCAAACAACTATTTAGGTTCACCTGTTGTTGCCTCTTTTTACTTACTACGTAGTTCAACTTTTATGGAGCAACTACTAGAGCAGATTTAAACATAACAAATGTCACATCTAGGTAAATAGCATAACCTCTAAAAACAATTACAGAAACAGCATAGATTGTACTCTTAAATTGAGAGTATTTTCTGTATTCATTACTAATTTATGTATACACTCCATCCATTTACAAATGAAAAACCTTAAATTTGAAAAAAAGTTTTGCCAAGCTATGAATTTCTTTTTAAAATGTTGCAGAGTGTTGTTGAAAAACCAGAGTATGATATATTCCATGGGGATATAATAAATTTCATGGGGGCATAATAAATGGAATAGAGAGAAGGGAAACAGAGTGCAGTATGATTTTTTAAATTAAGAATTTAATACATCATTAAAAGTGAATGTTCTTACTACCAATCTTCATGTTTTAAAAATGTCCAGTTATGTAGCAAATAAAAAAACTCAAAATCTATTTAGAACCATTCAGAGCTTGAGATCAAAGTGTCAGTACTACTTTACACCACTGGTGTTTTAACGTATGGTACTAAAAAAATCTAAAGATGACGGATTAATTTATATTTCTTCCTTTTTTCCATCACTCACTAGATTTAGTAAATTCTCACTGAGCTTGGTCAGTGTATTAGGAACATTAATTAAATAAACATTTTAACAGTAGTTTGCTAATAGCTTTAAAACACAGACTGCTACCTATAAAATGAACACCAACCTAGTACTAAGTGTTCATTTACTGAACACGATTTAATGTATCTCCTATATATTTATGGTTCAGGAAGCATCACAGAATCACATCGTGACTCTACCCCATAGTGTAAAACAGCACTTTATTTTAATCACTTTTTATTTGGGGTAAAATGATTTTGAATCAAGTAACACATAGAACAAAATGAGAAATGACATGAGGTTCAAAACTCTGAGATTCATTTATCCTGAGTTAGTGGTACCTCTGGAGTATGCCATAAACTCTCTGGTTTTCATTTGTTCAACTATAAATAAAGCAGCTGGACTAAATAACCTCAACTATTATTCTTCACTGGTAATAAATTTCTCTTATCCCAAATATGATGTATCATTGGAGATTTTGTATTTGGCTCAGTTCTTTAAGAAAAAAAAAATGACAATTATTACTCTAGTTCCCCACATTACATGGTATGTCTCTATAACCGTACAGAAAACAGAAGACTCATGAGAGAATAGAAACTTAAACATGATGATAAAAAATGAAAAAAGTCACACAATCATATGAGATTCCTTCAAGATTAGTCAAAAAGTGATTGCAAAAGAGAATGTGAATGAGTTTCACAGGCATGAATACTGAAGCAATAAAACTAAAGGAAATTTTATTTGAAAAATAAAACTGAACACCAACATTTCCCGCCACACTTAAGGTGATTTAAGAGAATTGATATTTATTGTAAGTTTCATTCACTCAACAAATATTTACCAATTATCTGATATATGCTTTCCTAACCACTCAAGGCAAAATTGAATATTCTACATAAATTAACAGTGGGTGATATCAATGGGTGCCTACACAGTATTTTGGGGGGGAGGGTATCGGGGATTGAACTTGGGACTTTGTACTTGCAAGGCAGGCGGCAAAACCTCCTCCTCTTACTAACAAAACTCTAACTTTGTTCAGGAAGGTGTTTGCCTCCTCAGATACATTACAGGTATGACTCAAATGATCCAGTTGCAATCAATGAGATGTATGAGAATATCAGGTGAGGAATAGGATTCAGTTGGCTTGAGTTTTTTTGCCTTTTCCTTTCTTCATATCCAGATTCTGCACACAACACCAGGAGAAGGAGCAATCATGATAAAGGAGCCACATAATAAAAATAGCAGACTAGGAAAGGTTCTGGATGATTTCAGGAAACTACTATGTAAGACCTAGACTTACTGACATTTTATTGCAGAAAAAATTTAAAAAGCCAAGTACAATACTTTTTGATATAATTGCCTTTCATTTTTGCTTCCTACTCTCCTTACTTACAAAAAATTACTCATCCACTTAATATATTTTGGACTTGTCATCTTTGGGTGATAAAGGGGTAACTAATAGCTGATAAGGTTTTCTTTTAAGACAAAGACTGATTTTCAGTTATGACAAGTCAGAAGAACTTTCAAAATAGTATGTTAGATTCAAACTATTTCAGATCTATAGTGAGAAAAAAATTAACTGACATTAAATGCAAATATATATCACTCAGTATTCTATTCCTACAGAACATTTACAACCACACACACATATATAAATATATATGAACATATATTTCATAAATGAATATTTGTACAGCATTGTTGAATTTAGAAACAACCTAAATATCCTTCAAATGGAAGAATGAATAAATAATCACTATCTGGTCATTAAAATGAAAGACAAAAATTTACATGATAGATATGGGTATCTAGACAGAATGAGTGGAAAAAGCAAACTGCAAAAGAACAGGTAGAGTATGATACTATTTGTACAAAAGCTATAAAACATATAAACTACAATGTATTGGAGTGGTCATGTACATATATATAAACAAATATGTAGAACAATCACAGAAATGTAGCTGTTCCTGGAGAGAGAAAGAGAGCCAGGCCTGGTAGCACAAGCCTGGAATCCCAACACCTTGGAGGCTGAGGCAGGAAGGATCACTGTTGAGTTAGGGGCCAGCTTGGGCTACACAATGAGTTCAAGGTCAGTATGAACTACACAGTGAAACCCTATCTCAGAATTAATGAATGAATAAATGAATAGAAGGAAGAAGAATGGGGTGGAAAATGGAAAGAAAAGTTTTAACTGTAACCTTTTAAAAACAAATGAAAATTTTGTCAAAATGTTGGGTGCACAGGTGATTTATGTTAACTCCTATTTATTTAAACTAATTTATTAAAAATTTAAAAGCGCAGGTCGGGGATTTAGCTCAGCGGTTCTGCCACCTGCCTCACAAGCGCAAGGTCCCGAGTTCGATCCCCAGTACCATAAATAAATAAATAAATAATAAACAAACAAACAAACAAACAAACAAATAAATAAATAAATAAATATTAAATTAAAAGCTTGGGCCAGGGATTTACCTCAGTGGTTCTACCACCTGCCTTGAGAGCAAGGACCTGAGTTCAATCCCCGGTACCAAATAATAATTTAAAAGCTTATGGTGAGATAAATCTTAGTACTTTGATATTATCTCTACTCTGGACAGCTGTGAGGCCTTGGGGGAAATTACCTGAATCTTTTTAAGTCTTTTTAGATCCTAAACTCCAAAACTAAAATATGAATTATTCCTATTCCTCAAAGAGTATCTGAAGACTTTTTAAAAAATTAAACATGAAACACTTTTAGTCTGTTACAATATTTGGGTGCTATTATTATTTGTTTATTTGTTCATTTTTAGTACCAAGGATTGAACTTGGGACCTTGCATTTGCGAGGCAAGTGCAAGAACCTCTGTGCTAAAAAAATCCCTGGCCCTGGGTACTATTATTATTTAGTCCTCTTTTTGTGCCACAAATTTTATCCACATCAGAAAATTCAGGGTTTCCTAAATCCACCATGGGCAGCTTTCCTCTGTTAACTTTGCCTAAAAACTTCTCTAAAAATTTAAGGTACTAAGATTAAACACTAAGCTACATTCCCAGATCCTCTAGCTAGCTTTATTTTGAGAGAAATCTTGCTAAATTACCTAGGCTGGCCTTGAGCTTGTGTTCCTCTTGCCTCAACCACTTGAGTAGCTAGGGTTACAGGCTTACTGTGCCTAGCTTTTCATTTCTATTCTTTAGCT